TTTCGTTCAGTAAATTGAAACGAGTCGGGATATGGTCTCGGATCATCAAACAGATGTCGATAGCCTGAGAAATGACACCTCACCGGAATACGATTGCAACGGCGGCGGTGTACGGCAGCGGAGGCTCCCGGAGAGTTTTTCGCGGCGGACTTGGGTCTGACCCGCCCTAAATTTACCCTTCTGAGTCCATTGGTGCGGTCGATTTCATACGATTCGGCCTGTAGCAGTACCTATCGGGACCGGCAACGTCGGTAAAATTCAGCGACTTAAATCTCACATTTCCGATCATGAATTCTTAAATTGGTTGAGGGGTTTTCTTGCCCGCTTCCTACTGAGTGTTGTGACACTAAAGTCATGATGATCCAATGGTTAGATCGTTGGAACCACCTCTTCCCTCCACGGACGACGGTAGTGGCTCCGTTTTCCAGCCAAATTGCGACGCCGACGGTGGCTGCTAGTCGGGATCTACTGGGCGTCGGCTTCTAAGTTGATTGGTGGGGGCGGTGACATCCACGACGGCCTGGAGAGAGAGAAATGACGGCAGCGGCGTCGGCAATTCCGGCCACCACAGATGGCGGTGATCCGGCCAGAATCGAGCTCTGAAAATGGATAGGTTTTCTTCGTTCTAAATCTATAGGAACTGAGATCATGTCAATCGGAGGTCGGATGGCGAAGATATCATGACGGAAAAAATGGATATTTTTGGAACTTTCGCTGGCGATTGCAGCTGATTCTGCCGGAGTTGGAGGTGGTGCCACTTGTCATTGAACTCAGCTTGTCGAGATCTTTCTATTGACACCGGTGGTGTCAAAAACGGAGGTCTGAATCTGAAGTTGAGTATTTGGCCATGGATGGTTTTGTGAGATAACGTGAGAGGAGAGAGAGAGTGAACGAGAGCAAGAGAGAGAATGTGAGAGGACCCTAATAATTTCACTATATAAGGTGTCTGATTAAGGTAAGATTACGTACTTGATCTTATCCTCAAATATTTCTTCTAAACAGATTAAATTTATACTGATTAGAGGTAATTAGTCTAGCTCACGTAAGTTAATCTACTACTTACAATCCAATATTAATTTCTGAATAATTCAATATTGTTTTATATTCTTACTCGTGTAATTCTGAATAATTCAAGATTACGTGTTTTATATTTTAAATTTAACTTTTCTGCATTATATTCTGGAAATGACATTGTTTCTGCTGGTGTTAACTCCTGAGCTCACATTGTATCCTTCTACTATAGGTATTTATCTTGTGACTTTAACCTAATTGTCTGGCAATTAAGGATTTTCTCTTCTTTTAAAATGTCAGTGCATTTTTTATACGTTGCTAATATCGTGTTGTGCTTGGAGATTCTTAAAATTAAGATTCTCAAACTATACTTATACTGAAAATTATTCCGCCTTAAAGGACAGTGAGAATTTACCGATCGAATTTACTTGATCGAAAACATGAACTTAACATGAAATCTGTTACAGAATTTAGGAACACAGATATTAATTTCATAAATCCTTCAGTCACATAATATTTTCTAGAAAAATCCTTGACGTAAATACATAAGTTGTATTATTTAAAGTCTGGAATTTTTCCAATCATTACATCTATAGGATGTACACTGATTATGCATTATGAAATATCGAGTTTGGACTTGGCGCAAGCTTTGGTTTTTATCTTTTCTTTGCAATTTTTGTTTGCAAGAAGGTGATTAGTTTTTCAAAAAAAGATGTACATACTGAATGGGGATATCCGTAGTATTTCTCTTAGATGGTTAACTGCATTTCTCAATGATGGTCTTTCCTCCAATAAAGTTGTTCCCCTCTATACTATTCTTACACTTTCAGAGCCAACATTGTGAGATAATACCATGAATGCTTTTTTTATGAATTTAGAAAGCTTGGGATGACTATATGTTAGGCCCATAATTATTTATGTTAGACGTGGGAATAAGAGGGCAGGGGCAGTTTAGTCTTTTGGGTGTTCTATGGATTTAGGGCTTTAGTATAAAGAGGGCATTAGCAAGTAATTAGGTTTATGTTGAGTTTTGTCAAGTTATTAGGAATAGTTAGGAGTTTGGGAGAGATCGACCTACCTCTCGAATTGTAGGTCAGGATTTGTCTTTTAATTTACTTGATTAATAATAATAAGTCCTAATTCAGCCATAATATCAACAGATTCTTCTATGAGTCCTATCAAATTGGTATCGGAGTGAATTCCTAGGACAATGGCAGCGAGGAAGGTGGACGCGCTAGAAGAGAAATTAGAAGCAGAGGTTGGATTGCTCAAGACCACCATCGACAAGCGATTCAACACCGTCCAACAACAATTTTCATCCCTTGAAGCCATGTTGCTGAAATTAACGGAGCTCCACCTCAACCCACCACCGGTAGTAGCGGCGAGCCACGGCGGTGCAGCAGGAGATGGGTCTGGTGGTACGGAACCCGAGGTCAGTGATGGCGCAGAGGGAGGAGGGTTGGAATCCGCCCGTTTGGCGCGACCAGAGGCGGCGGGACGCGGCCAATTTGCTGGCGCAGAGGGCAGCCTAGGCGACACGCGACTTAGAGAAGCTTTTCCCGGCGTTGGGGGTGGCGGAGGAGGCTAGGTAATGGCTAGAGGCGGCGGATATGAAGGATTCGCGGCTGGAGGAGGTGGCCTAGGGTTTGGGGCGACGGGGTTAGGTGTTTTGGCGCCGCCATGGGGCGCGCCAGGGCTAGGGACGGCTGGGCACGGTGTTTCAGCGTCGTGGTGGGGAGATCCGGGACCTGGGCAGGTCGGATCTGGGGCTGGGCAGGCTAGATTTGGGCTGGGCAGGGCGGATCCGGACCCAGGCAGGGTGGATTTGGGGGCGTACGACCGGGAGGAGGAATTTCTGGCAAGAGGGGGAGCGGGTATGACGGAATTGGGGCAAGGACTGCCGGATTTATGGAGAATGGAGGAGAATCGGGAGGATGGAGGCCTCCGATGGCGCGAAATTGGACCGGGCATACCCAATTTGGGGCGGATTCTAGGGTACGGAAGCTGAAAATGCCCATTTTCGAAGGCGAGGATACCTATGGATGGGTGTATAGGGTAGAACGCTATTTCGTCATCAATGGACTCTCAAAGAGGGAAAAACTGATGGTGGCGGCGTTATGTTTGGAGGGAAAGGCCCTTGCGTGGTTTCAATGGCGAGAACAACGGCAACCATTGAGGACTTGGGGTGAATTTAAGGACCGGCTGCTGTAGCGATTTCGAGCCACTTAAGAGGGAGATCTACATGAACAGTTTTTTGCCCTGATCCAGGATACGACAGTCATGGAGTATAAGGAGAAGCTCGAGTTGCTATCTGGTCGCTTAGGGGAAATCTCAGAAGCGGTGTTAGAAGGGAATTTTATGAAGGGACTGAAGCCAGAGATCCGAGCGGCGCTGCGTTTGCTGAGACCGAGAGGGTTAGGGGAGACGATGGAGTTGGTACAGATGATTGAGGATAAGAATACAATGGGCGGGTCAATAGGAGCAACACAGTTGGCTTTTCATACCAAAACAGCGCACCACCAGGTGGGCAGAAAACTCAGACGTTGGGATTTCAGAGAGAGACCCAAAAGGATCGGGATAGTGGGGTATGTTCGAGAGGGACTATCAAGCGCCTCACTGAGACAGAGATTCAGGACAAGAGGGCGAAGGGGTTGTGCTTTCGATGCGATGAGAAATTTTTCCCAGGGCATCGATGTAAGGACTGTTCACTACAAGTCTTGACGGTGTGTGATGACAAGGAAGGCGGAGAAGTAGCTGAAGAAGAAGAGTTGATGGAGGAAGAACACTTGCATTTAGATGTGGCTGAGGTGTCGCTCAATTCAATGGCGGGGTTCACACCGAGCCATTCCATGAAGATTAAGGGTAGGATTCGAGAGCAGGATGTGGTAGTGTTAGTTGATAGTGGGGCCACACACAATTTCATTTCCAACCGCGTGGTGGAAAAGATAGGGTTCCAGTTGATTGACACTGGGAGTTTTGGGGTGACCTTGGGAACCGGAGTGTTAGAAACGAGCCTAGGAATCTGCAAGGGGGTGATTTTGTCGCTCCAAGGAATTCGAGTGTTAGACGATTTCCTACCCCTGGATTTGGGAAGCACGGACGTGATTTTGGGAATGAAGTGGCTTCAAACGTTGGGAGCGATGAAGGTGAATTGGAAGCTGTTGAGTATGGAGTTTCAGGTAGGAAACCAACCAGTAATTCTGAGAGGCGATCCGAGTCTGTGCCGAACCTTGGTGTCACTGAACACCGTGGTGAAGGCGATTAAGAGGACCGGAGAAGTGGCTTACCGATTGCGGTTGCCACCCTCTTCAGCGATTCATCCAGTTTTTCATGTATCTCAGTTGCGTCGGGTGATTGGCGAACACACATCATCTTCTTCGTTACCACCCACATTGACAGAGGATATGGAAGTGGTGATGGAACCGTCCGCTTTAGAAGGCGTGCGCCGGGGAGCAACAGGTCATAAGGAAGTGCTGATTAGATGGAAGAACTTGCCAGATTACGAGGCGACATGGGAGCCATTTGAAGTAATTCAACAACAATTTCCTGAATTCCACCTTGAGGACAAGGTGTCTTTTTGGGAGGGGAGTAATGTTAGGCCCATAATTACTTATGTTAGACGTGGGAATAAGAGGGCAGGGGCAGTTTAGTCTTTTGGGTGTTCTATGGATTTAGGGCTTTAGTATAAAGAGGGCATTAGCAAGTAATTAGGTTTATGTTGAGTTTTGTCAAGTTATTAGGAATAGTTAGGAGTTTTGGAGAGATCGACCTACCTCTCGAATTGTAAGTCAGGATTTGTCTTTTAATTTACTTGATTAATAATAATAAGTCATAATTCAGTCATAATCTCAATTGATTCTTCTCTGAGTCCTATCACTATACCAATACTCTGTGCAATTCCTCAAATAATCAGACTCTTGTTTGTGCAGTTAGTGCCAAGTCTGTTTTGCTTCAACTCCGAGTGTAGAAACAGTTGCTGCGGCTAGAAAATGGAAGCAAGTGCCCCGGTTTCTCTGGATCAAGATCAACCGCTAGAGAATTTGGTGAATTCTTTGAGAAGGAAGTTGCAAAATTTGTCTCCACCACCTTCTGAATGTTGCATCTATAGAGTTCCGGAGCGGCTGCGCCTTGAAAATGCGAATGCTTATATCCCTAGGGTTCTCTCCATTGGACCACTTCACCACGGTGAACAACGTTTTCAAGCCATGGAAGAACATAAAATGCTTTATTTGAATAGTTTTCTCGAAAGAACCAAAGTAAGCCTGGAGGATTATACCAAGTTCATTAAGGAAAGGGAACAGAAAGTGCGGAAGCATTATGCCGAAACCTTCGAAACTGTGGAAAGCAATCGATTCGTGGAAATGATCCTTGTGGATGCTGCCTTTGTCATTGAACTATTGTGGAGGAACCATTCCAAAGACGAGGTACAGGAAAATGATCGCATTTTCAATAGACCGTGGAAGGTTGGGGATATAAGGTACGATATGATGTTACTGGAAAATCAGCTTCCATTCTTTATATTTGAAGACATTTTTACCCTAGCCAAACTAAGGATTTCTCTAGACAACATTGGTGACCGACTTTCCATGAGTAGTGAGAAAATTTCCCTCATCATATTGACCTACAAATTCTTTCGATTTAAAGCTTACTTGGGAGGAATAAAGGAAATTCTAAAAAGGGTACAATCCTCCGAAATCAAGCATTTCGTTGATTTCTTTAGACAATGTCACGTGCCAAGAGAGCTACCACCTAGAGGTGAAATTCAGACTCTAACTGTACCCAGTGTAACGGAGTTGTATGAGGCAGGGGTCAACTTTGAGGTGGGATCAACTAAAAGCTTGTTTGACATACAATTCCGCAAAGGAACTTTGGTGATTCCTCGTCTGCGAATACGAAAGTCAACAGAGAGCTTTTTCTTGAATCTGCTTGCTTTTGAACAATGTCACTTGCTTGATTGTTACATCAATGACTACGTCTTCATCATTGACCGCCTCATTGACACAACCAGCGCTGTGCAGTTGCTTGTTCAGAGTGGTGTAATTGAAAGTAAGCTACCCGATAACAAAGAGGTTGTAACATCCATTAACAACCTTGTACGAGGAAGTATCTTGCGCTGTAAACATTTCTACTTCAATGATCTTTGTGTCAGCTTGAACGCTTATTACAGTGATCCCTGGAACAAATGGACGGCAGCCTTAAAACACAAACATTTCAGCTCTCCATTGACCATTTTCGCTGTGGTTTTGGCTGCCGCGGTCTTCATACTCACTCTCATTCAAACAGTGTGCTCTTGTGGAGTACAATTCAAGAAGTAGCAAATATGCTCAGCTCTCCTGAACAAGTGGTAAGCAACCTAGGTGGAAACGTTTTATCGTTGCTTACTGTGTTATGCCTTCAATTATGCTGATCTGGGAGGATTAGTTTTCTTCCGGAAGGCTTCATTGTAATGTGGCTGTATGGTCGGTTAGCAATATACCAGTTATTGTAATCCTATGTGACACAGAGAGTTCGAGAGACTTCTAGAAGTTACTCTTCTATTTGTATGATGGTGGGTGTTGTCAGGATGTAATAGCAAAAGGGCGATGAACAAGGTGTAATCTCTCAGGATACAGAACAATACTTCATCACATAAATTCAGAAATTAGTGTCAACTTGGTATCCTGATATAAAATCCTTTATAACTCAATCTTGATGAGCATACTTTATACAACAAGCATAAGAAAGAAACCAGATGGAGATGGGCTTGAAAATATGTTGCACTAATTGAAGATGCTTATCAAGTTTTGAAAGGATAAAACAGCACAAATGACTACAATGGTGTCATGGTCATGGGTGGTATAGCAAATGTCCTTCCCATGTTTCTTTCCAGTCCCCCCAAAATCCCTGTTTCATGATCATTTCAACAACTTTCGGAAAAGAATATCCACCATTCCTTTCACTTATTCAAAAAAAAAAAAAAAAAAAAAAAAAAAAAAAAAAAAAATTTTTCCTAAAACTCGTATACTATTATACACCTTAGAAACACATTTACCGGATCACAATTTGTCACGAGTTACAGAAAATTTCTAACGATATTCATCTTCTGATCCTGAATAGTCTACAACGAAGTCATGCCAAACCGATAACAAATGATCTTCATTTACAACAATGACTAATCACGATCCTATAGGAAAAAATGCAGCAGACTCTGGCTAGAATTGATCTTAGAAAATGACTCCACCTTCAGCCTTTAGTCCAAATCCTTGGGAATTTCGAGTTACCAATAAGCCTATAACCATGAAAACAACAATGATGTTGGGTAAAAAGGCATAAATGTTTAGACATAATTGGAGAAAGGAGAGAAGAACATCCAATTATAGAAAAAATTGCAAGAACAAGGTTCAGTGTCAATACAAGTGGAAACAGAGAATTTGAAAGCAATAATTTCTCTTAAAAACGAAAATTGAAACATACCACAAAATTCAATCAGTCTTCAATATCATCAGTGAAGAAGCTATGCTGGTCGCTCCATTCAGCATTTGAGGTTCTAGCCAATTCTTCATCATCGTTGTAAAAGAAACTCAATTGACGGCCATACAACTCCACATTTGTGGTTCTGAATAACCCTTTCACATGGTCCAACAAACCCGGCTCACCGAGCTTGTACGACACATAATGGTTCCCTCGAACTCTATAACGGAAAATGACAGATGGTATATGCTTAACCTTCCAGTAATCTGAACCTCCTTCTGGTTGCAAGCGAAGTACAAATTCATCAGACATGTCATAGCATTCTAGAAGTTGGAGATTTCTTAGGTGTTGGATGTCAAATGACAAGTCATGTTGGTTAGATCCAATTCTTAGCTCTTCTAGAAGAGGCAATGCTCCTCGCTCTACGTCGATTGACCTTAGATCATACAGCTCTGTCAAAACAAGTTGCTTCAGTTTTTGAAAAGTAACCCCCCTAAAATGAAGTTTCTCACCATCATATGCTCGATGCAACCAAAGAAACTTTAAGTTGGGCAGAAATTGAAGGAAATTTAAGGGATCAACAGCTAATCTTGTGAAACTTAAACCTAAAATGTTTAGATTCTGAAGTCTCAGAATCCAATTAGGAAGCTTCTCTAGTCGTCCTTTCACTATGAGACGCCTCAGTAAAGGCGGTGGAGATGAAATAGATTCCAAATCAATTGTTTCACTAGCGTTGGACAAGTATAAGCTTAGAGATTCAAGGTGGCCCATCTTCTCAATAAATGAGCAGAGAATGTCTACCATGTCCGCGCTCAATTTTGAAATGCCCAACCATCTCAACTGTCTCAACTTCGCCAACTCGTGTATGAAACCAGAAGAGCTACCATGTGCTTCCACAGTCATTAGAGTTTGCAAGTCCTCCAAATATCCAATCCCTTCATTTACCGTAACTCCGTGGATTGAATCCAAACTAATTTTGTTGTTATGTGCGCTGGCCAAAAGATGTCGCAGCTTCCCAAGCTTTTGGATCTGGATTGGTAGCTCACGAATTAGTGTATTTCTTACATCCAAAGTTTGTAGATTGAGTAGTAGGCCTACGGACTTTGGAAGCGTCTTCACTTTTGTATTCCTTACGCTCAAGTATTTCAAGAGGAACAAGTTTCCCACTTCATTTGGGAGATCATCAAGAGGAGCATTTTCGAAGTCCAACAGCTCCAAAAGTTTAAATCTTTCAAGCAAATTCACTACAGAAGAGTTTCTCACACTTATTTTGCTCCCATTGAAAAGAAAAAGAGAGCGAACATCAGGGCGTTCAGTAGAGATCTCCAAAGCATTTAACGCATCACCATAGATTGACAAAAAACGAATGTTACTGTCCTCTAACGATATAGAGCTTTTCTCATCCAAAACCTGACAGACTCTTAACATTTTTGCCCTTGGTGAGATGATATCATGCATGAAACCGTGGACTCTACACATTCTCTCAGTGCCTTAATAGTTTACATATGAGACTTGGACCAAGTCTCTGTTTATGAGCTCATTCAAGTATCTTTCTGCGACTTGTTCCATCGTCTTCCCCGTCTCTTCTTTAATGAATCCCTCGGCAATCCACAATTTGATCAATTTGAGATCAGGAATTAGATAGCCCTTGGGAAAGATAGCAAAGTACAAAAAGCAGAATCTAATAGGACAAGGTAGATCACCATAACTTTGATAAAAAATCCTTGAAACCTCTTCAATCCGCGAGGGATTCTGATTCTCTCCAATCTCATTAATTATATTGGCAAGCAGCATTTGCCACTCAGACAAGATCTTTCCTTTAGTTGACAGGATATCACCAACGGCCCAAATGAGAAGGGGCAAGCCATTGCATCTTCTAACAATTTCAAGTGACGAGTTCTTTAATTCAGGAGGACATTCATACTCGTATCTAAATGCAATTATGCAAAACAACTCCCACGCCCTTTCTTCGGAGAACGGTTGTACTTTTTGAACAACATCACAAGAGGCAGCAATTGCATTATCACGTGTTGTGATTATTATCCTACTACCATTGTTGTTATCCAGAAAAACATCATTCACAAGCTGCAAAAAATCCGTTTGCCACAAACCATCAAAGACAATCACGTACCTCTTCGCCGTCAAATATTCGTTCAAGCGACTGATCACCTCCGTAATCGAGTCCATTTCGCCTTCCGGGCAGATCTTCTTTGTTTCATTCCTGAGCAGGTTCTCAAAGCTATACGATTGAGACACATTGATCCAAGCATGGCAATCAAAGTGTTTCTTCACCTCGTCGCTTCGAAAAACAACACTAGCAAGAGCAGTCTTACCAACTCCACCACTTCCCGCCAACGAAATCACCAACCTTTCGGGTTGTTCTCCGACCAGCATTTTCACAAGCTCTTCCTTATCGAACCCAATACCCATAATCCCATCCTCTTCGAAAAAACACGAGCACAAACTTCCCTTTCCGAAAAACAATCCTTTCTCTTCACCCTTGCGTTTCGTCTCCCGTAATCTTTCTACGATCTCTCGAATCGTCGAAGCTAATACGCCGTGAGCCGGCTTGATCTTTCTGATGAGTTCATTTGTTTGGCGGACGAGATTGTTGAATCCACGCTCTTGTCGGCGTTGTGTCGCCTGAAGAAGGTACGCGCCCAAGACGTGTAGCGACCCTCCTTTGAGGCCGCCACTGTAACTAACTTTTTAACTTGTACTTACTGAAATTTCTTAAAATTTACGGAACATTTTTTTTTTTTTTAAGGGTCTTATTATAAACATAAAATACGAAATTGCTTTCTTAATTAAAATATTCAAACCTTAACATATCTGTTTCATAATTATAATTAACAAAACTATTTGTAACATAAAGCTGATTGCGAAAATATTTGCGAGTGGTATCCATATCCCGAGCTCCACATCGTTCATCCACTCGCCAGCAGTCCATCAGGCATTATATGCCGGTTGCTTACCTACAGTATAAACATTCTATAATGAGCTTTCGCTCAGCAAGTAGGAACTATCTCCCGCAAAACAACTGTAAGTTCACATGAATAAATATGCATGAGCCAATTATGCTTAATTATGATGTCTTATCAGAATCTTATTATCTTATCTTATCTTATCTTTCTTACTGATGGGCCCGAGTGCTCGTACCACTTGCGCGCAATCATCGGGACGTGAGGGTTTGCAAGGTCCCCCATGACACCGTGATTATAACTTGAATGCCTCCCTTGAGTCGGAGGACATCATTATTATTATTTTTTTTTTCTCCCTTGTGGAGCTTGAGTTACCTCCCTTGTGGAGGCTGGTACGGCACT